GGTAATTGCAGCTCATAAAGAATTGGTCCTGGGACCAGCTCTTGAGGAAGGAAAGAGATTCAGAAGGAGGCAGGCTATGCTATGGCCGAGGAGTTTGCCCAGTATACACCTCCCTTGGGTCCATCCCCAGCTAGAAGGAATCCAGGTAGGAACTGATTACTCCTTGTAGCCAAATGCCCCAGAAAGATGTCTCAGAAAGATCTGAGACCCTCTAAGAATTACCTGCACTTTCCCGTGAGTTAGGTGACATCTTGATTACCCAAAAGCATTATCTTGACAGCAACAAGAATGACTGCCTCTCCATGAGTTTGTTTGGGTTTATTTCTGTTGTGTGGATATACCTAAGAGTGGAAGCGCTAGGTCATAGGGTGTGCTCATGTTCAGCATTGGTAGCTACTGCCAGTTTTCCAAAGTAGTTGTACCAACTTACACTCCTACTGATAGTGTGTGAGAGCGTTGTCACTCTTTTAAATTTTAGCCATTCTAGTGGGTGCATAATGACATTTCATTGTGGTTTTAATTTATATTTCTCCAATGACCAATGATGTTGAATACTTTTCACATACTCTTTTGCCACTTGCATATCCATCTTTATCACGATGTCCTTTCCTTGTTGATATGTAGTTAAGGTATTCTGGTGCCAAATGAGATGCATATATTACAGATATTTTTCTCTCACTCAATGGCTCGTCTCACTCTCTTAAAGGCATCTTTTCAGAACAGAAATTCTTCATTTTAAGTCCTATTTATCAATCTTTTCCTTTATAGGTAGTACTTTCAGTGTCCGACATAAGACATTTTTGTTACCCTTAAGGCAACGAAGATGTCTCCCCTGACTTCTATAGTGATAAAAGTCAAAATAGTGGTTAGGCTTTTAGGGAGGGGTAATGACTAGGAGGCAGTACAAGAAAGAGTCCAGGGGGCTGATTATGTTCTATTTCTTGATCTTGGTCATAATTATACTTGCTTGTTTACTTTCTAAATATTCATTGAACTGTATACTCGTTACTTGTACACTGTGCATGTGTGTTATACCACCATTAAAGTTTGAGACAGAGAGAGAGAAAACGCACAAACAAGAGCCACTAACTGAAGAGATACAACGTAATAACAGAAAAAAGTACTGTGAGAGATTAGAGGAAATATTACAGATTATATAACATCATAGGTTCTCAATCTACAGGAGCCAACCTTTCAGTAAATGTATTTTAGCAAAATACATTTAGTAAGTATAGTTTAAGACCAGAAACACTGATGTTGGTTAATAATACAACATTGAAAATAAACAGTTTGATTTTGAGCATAAAATCCCTCAATATTAGTAAGGCCTGACTGAAAGAGTTAAGCAAGCACGGAGCTTAAAGAGAAGCAGCAGGTTGCTCCAAATATTTGGTTTCACAAATTCTTTATCAAAATGCTCTAGCTGAGACATGGTAAGTCAACTTCTGACTTCCCACCCTCTGATGAAGAGCATGAGTAGTATGGTCTGTATAAAATGGTGGCTAATGAGTCTGAGGTAGTGAGGAGTCTTTGGGACTACAGCAGAAATGTCACAAGAATAGAACCTAAGGGTCCAGTAGAGTCACCATCCAAGCCAGAAATCCAATCAAGATGCCCAGCAGGGGTACAGTTAATACTAAACCATATCCCAAAACGCAGCCAGGCTCTGAACCTGAAGATGAGAGTCAACCCAACAGGAAATGCAGCCAAAGCAAGAATGAAGGTCACGTCAGGAGCTGTCCCTTCTATGGGTGAAAACGCCAAGATAGCACCAAAAGCAGCGGAGGGTCTGCCAGGGTCCTCATCCTGAGTCTCTTTGAAGAGAAAGCCAACCAACAGCCCATCCTCGGCTAGCCGGGGCGGCAGGTGTGTGTCTGCATGCTCTTCTGCCCTTAGCCAAGTAGGAGTGCACACCTGATGGCTGGTTCTGGCAGCTAGATCTCGAACTTGGAGACACTCTCCAAGAGGAGTCTGCAATGTGCAGGTGTGAATTCAGGCACTTTCTTCTGATACCTTTGATGCCTGCCTGTTAAATGACCACCTGTCCATTTCTTATCCTCTGTCATTGACAAGCAGGAGATTTCCAGGGAGCAAATGCAGACTGTTGGACAAATAAATCCTTCTGAAATGGTACAGAGTGAACCGATAAATAGAGCTTGATGAAGGAACTTAAGAAGACTAAGACAATCAGAAAAAGTCAACCTTGCAAATATGAGTGAGAAAAGCAACCTCAGGAACTCCTGGGTGGCATGGGGGGAAGGAGGGGAGAAATCCATAATTAGGATGATCCATGGACAGATAACAGGAATTCAAGCCCTAGAAATTCAAGCCCAAGTGCAGGAGTTTGCATTTCTAATCAGCTCATGCAGCATTGTGTTTTCAGAGTTCACCCATTTCTAATATCCAAGAGTTATCTTTTACAGTCATAGTCCTATAATTTATCACATCCAGGCATGCAAAACCATCCTTTTGCTAACATTAAACATCTTTAATCAGGACAATTTATAAGAGCACTTTAGGGCTTTAATGAAAGAAAGGCATTTGATACATGATATTTACAGTAATCATAATACGACAAGATTTAAAGTATAATTTTTTACAGTGTTAGATCAGGAAGCCAAATTGTCTGTGTTTTTAGTTAGTTATTTGCAATGCTTTGGGGAGGAATCAGCATCCAGAAATTAATTAACAGTTTGCCTTTACACAATTGTCAGTGTCATCACCGGGTATTGCCACTGGCTGCCAGCTCCCTTAGACCCTCGCTCTAGTGGCAATCAGCAAATGCGATTAATGTTAAACCACTTGTCCTAATAGCCAAAAGCCAAATGTCATACCACATGCAGGATCATAATTAAGCTTTAGGAAGTAGATGGATTTGGCTTTGTTAACCAAGAATTAACCCAAAATCTGGAGGCCACTTGAATTAGTGCTTGTGGAAAATATCCATTCCACCTCAGCCTTGGGGATTCCAGGACATTTTTCAGGGAGAGTAGTTTCATGTAAAGCTAAGATCCTTGAAATTCTTTTTCAAAAGGATCTAAACCTTTCTTTGTCAAGCTCTAAAGGTTCCCTCTGCCTTCTCTTCTGGGACCAGTCAAATTTACACACATTCCAGCTACATTTGAGTGAAATTCAAGTTCCTGTTTAGGTGTTCACTGTTAACCACAGGTCTCATGCTTCACAGCCCTCTTGACGTGTGTTTATTTGAAAAGGTGAGTTGATGAGCCGGTGCCTTCCTCGTAATTGACAAGTTCTACCTAACTCAGTGGGGCCCGCCTTCAACAGGCAGTGATGTGGGGCACGAAGCGAGGGAGAAATGTTACCTGGGTTACTGCCCACAGCCCCTTCAATAATAAAACAGTGTCCAGGCAGAGTGATGACAGACACTTTTAAGAGTTCAGATTTCCCTCAACTTCAAACCTAAACTCAATCATGAATACTGAAATAAGTGGAACATTACAGAACCCCAAAATTAAAACCAAAGCCCATTTTTCCATACAAGAGTTGTAGAAGGCTTGGTCCTCATCCAGGTGCCCACCTGTAGCACGTGGCCGGGGCCTCCTAGAGCATGGTGGGGTTCTAACGCCACCCTGGCTTCATTTGTTCCTCTCCTTGGTCCCCCCGTCCTGATTTATTTCCTATCATGAGTATAATTAAGGATAATTATTAATTCTAACTTGGTTTTGTGCATTTTCTAAGCTACTTAAGTCTTCTTTGGAAGAAGATAGAATATTATGTTTGAATTAGAGGAGGTGCCCTAAATCTTTCACTCAAAGCTAGTTTCCTCTTTTCTACATACAATTTTAATAAATTCAGTCACCTGATTTCACAACACACGGCAACTCAGAAGACCACAGCCGACAAAAAGAGTGATTGTTTCTTCCTGATGTAGCACAGCATATTCAGCCTACTTCCTCGATGTCGTTGAACACCACAGTAAATGAACAAATGAGCAAATAGGTCGACGAGCAATACCCTGTAGCTTAACAAGGAGAAGATGGAAACTATTCAAAAAGAAATAAAAGAAGCAAAAGCATAGCAATTGGGGTCCACTTGGGATGGGTGTTATCTACCCGTGGATTTTAGAAGCCTTTAATGATTACAGAGCTATAGTTAATATTGACAAGTATGACACTCTTGAAGAAAAAAGTCAAAGCATACTTGGGAATCTTTATTTAAGAAGATAGGGATGTGTACCATACACTAGAAAAATTTCTGTATGAAAATAAAGTTTTAATACATGACGGAGTGGTAATTTTCAGCTCCCTGGAAAATTCTCTTCTTTGCAATGCCTCATTCCCTGGCCACACTCAAACTAATATTGTGAGTTCTTCTCAGGTGGAAAGGACATCTCAGGAGAAGCAGTGTAGGTGGAGAATGCTCACCTAGAGCATTAGAGCTAGGTTCTGACTCGCTCCATCGTGATGAGTGGGGAACGATTCCAACCAAGCCCAGCATCATGCTGACATCCCTAAAAGAGTGCTCATTACTGCCAGCAAAGGGGGAGTTAACAGCAAGCATCCAAATAATTCACTCCTTTTCTCCACCAAGCCATTGACAATTAAGACTCCTGGACTGAATGTCTTGCAGAGAGACCTGAGGGCGGTGAGGGGCCCAAGTGCACCAAACCTTTGTTCCCGCAACGTCACAAAAGAGAGAAGATAGTTCCTGGTAGTATGCTCAGAATGTTTTGGACAAAGGGTGCTCCACAAATGGAAGACGTTATATAAGTGTTATTATTTGAGATTTGACTCCTGTTGTGATATAAATCACAGCCCTAGACTAAGGCAACCACAGACACTACTAGATATCTCCAGTGGCAACTCTGGCCAGTCCATTCCCGATTGAGCCCAGGAAGCAGCACGAGGCAGGGCTACAATTTCAGGAGACACTCCTGATAGTATCAGGAGCCTGTTTATCTCAACCAGCAGCCTGAACTTGGCACTTAACGCTCCTCAATTACAGTGAGCAAAGATTGACTTATTCTTTTTTGTTTACAGAATTATGCAAAACTCATCCCTGGAGCTACAGTAGGACTGCTTCAGAAGGACTCGGGAAACATTCTCCAGCTGATCATCTCGGCTTATGAAGTATGGCATTTTACAAGCGGCTTCTTTTTTTTTGCACTTCTTTGGTATTCAGAAACTAAGATGTGTTTTAGGCAGTTAAATGCACTTTCACTCGTTGCTAGAGACAGTGCTTATCCAAAGAAAATCTCCCTGCATTAATGCAGCCAAAATATAAATTTTGTTCACTTTATTTGCAGATAGTCTTCCTGAAAGGTGGGAAAGAATGTAGAAAAATCACAAACCTGATCATCAAGTTGAGGTGGTTTTTATAATAATAACCAACAATAGCACTGTCACCTGCAAAATTTTAATTCTACAGAAAAGGCTCCACGAGTCACACAATTCTTCTCTGCTTGAAAAAAAATTAAGTTTCAATTGCCAGTGAGTAACAGAGCTATGTGGAGAACTAACTCCACAGGCTTAATGAGACTACGTCATAACTCAGGGAAAAAACAGCAAAGCACACCAGGAACACCACTTTTTAGATTCTCTACTTTTGGGAACAAAGGAGATTCTCCACTGATTTTATGGTTTGATATATACATAATTTTTTGCCTTGACTTTGTAAATTAGTACCTTAGGACAGAATTCCTCCCTTAAAATAAGTTAAATACCTCCAGGATTGCTATGTTCTTTTTTTTCGTCCCCATTTCATAACTCAATTAATCAACGGTAGATGGCCATTGTCAACTCTTTTTTATTTTGGTTTCTAAATATCATCCTTCTTTACTTACAAAGAAAAATACACACACAAAGATGAAGATGAAGCTCTAAATTAGGACAGGAATGAAAAAAGTAAATTTTTATGAAGCAGTAGAGCTTTAACATTTGCTCTAAACAGCAGTTACATAATGAGTGGATAAAATTCTATTTTTGATGTTTTTAAATTATAAATAAATGACCCATATGCACTATATGCCAATACTTAGCATATGCTGAACCAGTGTCCCTTAAGTAAATGACATTTCAGAATCATTTGGGAAGATTTTTAAAAATAGGTGCATCCAGATTCCTTTCACAGACATCTTAGGAAAGTTTTAAGAGGAGGAAGAGCTACATATTTTGAAAAAAAACTCCCCACTGATTTTGACATCACCCCACCAATTTTGAAACTCACCTCAAGGGGGAAAAGCAAGATATTCCTTCTCAAACACATTTCCTCAGAGAATAAAATACAGATGTGTCCATTAAAATTATAGGATGAGGTTTTTTTCACTCAGATCTTCAGAAACTTTAGTTTTCCTAGCTCACATCAAAAGTTAATCACCACATTAGCTCGTGTTTGAAATTCTTCCAGACAGGAAAGCTTGTCAACAAAATACTATAAAGACCTTCCTCCCTCGTATGCAGTAATTAACGTTTTAATGTGTAGAATCAAATAAAGTCACATAGCAATTCTTCGCTAAATTAGAGCATACTCAATTTTCTGTAACCCAGCACTCTCAAAAGTGTTAGCCACTAACATCTTCAAAGGAATGAAGCAAATTAGAAAACAGTGAATTGTCAAAAACTTTTTCCCCTCCTCTCTGACCAGCCCAGTCTGACAGAGCAATGCCCCTGCTTGCTCTGTCAGAGATTATGTCTCATGTTATGGTCCCACATCACTCACAGAACTTACAGGGTAGTTGAAATCAAGGCATCGAACATTTGAAGTGAATCTCGTGTCCTTATTTTACTGTCTCAAAAATACAAGGAAGTGTCTATTGGTCTTATGCCCAACAATCTTGCTCTGGAGTTATTGAAACTTTATGATTCGCTGGGTGAAGTATGCAACAGATCTTGGCACTAGTTCAAATTATTTTTCTATTCTGTTAATTTAAAATCTATTCTAAAAGGACTTTAAAATATGAGGATCCATAGACTGGATTTCTTTCCAAGCTATAAAAAGAGAGAGAAGGAAAGCGAATATACTGAAAGAAAACATAAAACACTTCTGACTGACTCCTAGTGGGGCAGAGGCAGACAAGTTGTGTTTATACTAAGTGACTGTGAACTTCAGCTCAGTGCCATATTGACATAAAAAAACCTTAAATACCAGATGTGTATTCATCTGACCATCATTCGCTAATTTCCTTCCTTCCCTAACCACATAATAAAAGCTACTGAAATAACAATGCTCCCAGGGGTAAGCTCCTCTACTGGCATTTAAGCTCCAGAAGGAAGTGACTTGGTTTATTTTGCTTTGCCTGGTTCATAGTAGATGCTCAATAAATGAATGAATGACATGATGAAATATACAACTAAACATTTATGTCCTTTTTGGAGGAAATTCACATTAAAATATTCCTGTTGAAATTTGCAGTATGATATTCAAATTATATCAATGCTGAGATTTCCTTGATTTTGGTCAGATTATGTCACCCACTACTCCTAATTGCTGTCATATACAGACTTTCATGTCATATCCCTCATTTCTCATTTAGCTCCTGAGTCATTGTGCCACTGTCTCCAACACTACTCCTGTCTTAATTCTTGACAATTTCAGCATAAATGTATATATATAATCCCTCCCATAACCTGGCCTCTCGGTTTCTTGAACTCTGCTTATAAAATGATCTTGTCCCCTTCCCATAAGTACCTTCTCATACTTTCCTTTTCTTGTCCTACCTTAAACCTTGTCATTGCCAATAAACTCCTCTATAATCTCAACTGCTTGCAACCCATTCGCTGCTCATCACTTCCTATCTTTTCAGTTCACTCTGGCTAGTTCCCCTAATATTTCTTCCAATCCCTGAGGATCTCCAATTAATTGACCCTACCCTCTCTTTACAGTTCCTCATTCCCTTGATGTTCTCTCCTGCGTGGGCCCCCAGCTTAAATTCAATCACTATGATCAGTCCTTCAACACACTCTCAACTCCCCTCCACTGCATCAGAAAATTTCGTTGGCTCTATCTTCAAAATTATTTAGAATTTGATCCGGTCACTGCCTCCACTGTCCCCATCCTGGTTAGAGCCACCATCTTGATTCAATTTGAATTATTGCAAAAGCCTCCTAACTGCTGTTTCCTATATTTACCTTTGGTTTCCTATGTTCTGTTTTCAACAAAACAGCTAGAATTTTCCTTTAAAAATATTGTCAGCTTGTATAACTTTTCTGTAGATAACCCTAATTGTCTTCTCCTTTTACATGGAGGAAAAGCCAAATTCTTTACAACAGTCTGCTAGGACCCCACCAGATCTGTTCCCCTCCACCCCATTACTTCTTTGATTTCACCTCCTATTATTCTTCTCTGTCTCTGCTCCAACCCTGGCCTCCTTGCTGTTCTCTTCCCAGAGCAAGCCGGGCATGCTCCTGCCTTAGGACCTTTGCATTGACTGTATCTTCTTCTTGGAACGCTCTTTCCACATATCTGCATGGCTGATTTCTCCTAACTTCCTTGCAATATCACCTTCTTAATGAATCCTACTCTGACTACTTATTATTATTTTTTGTGTGTGTGAGGAAGACTAGCCCCGAGCCAACATCTGATGCCAATCCTCCTCATTTTTTGCTGAGGAAGATTGGCCCTGGACTAACATTCATGCCCATCTTCCTCTACTTTATAGGGGAAGCCACCACAGCAGGGCTTGACAAGTGGTGCGTCAGTGCGCGGCCGGAATCCGAACCTGGGAACTCCAGGCCGCTGAAGTGGAGCGTGTGCACTTACTCGCTGCACCACCGGGCCAGACCCCTGACTACTTTTTAAAAATTGCCACCTATACCCCCTGCACACACACTCTTAATCTTCAGCATCCCATCCTAACTTTTTTCCATAGCATTTATCACCTTCTAGTGTGTTCATAATTTTCTTATTTTTTATGTTGTTTCCTTTCTGTCTTCCCACAGTGAAATATAAACTATGAGAGGTCAGCTGTTTTACTGGGTTTTGTTTCCCAAGCACCTAAAACAGTGTCTGGTACAGAGTGCATATTCAATAAATATTTTCTAAATAAATAAACTCATAATGTAACTAGTTGGAATGAAACAGATTTAAAGAGTAAATCTTAATGCTAAATTGGCAGAATTTGAAATTTTAAGACATGATGGAAATAGTCTTTAACATTGAGAAATGACACTTCAATCTCTGATGACCATATTCCAAAAAGTCAGCCTGTGTCCATCTACTGAAGAGTGAAAATACGGGGCAAATAAGCAGGGAAGAGGAATGCCATAGTATTTACAGTCAGCAACTTAGAGTTTGGAGCAGGGCACGGTTATCTTACCGTGCAGTTGGCAAAATTATACTTAAGGAAAGTTTGAAGCTGAGTATGCTTTTAAAATTCAAGCAATGAAATGGGTAAGGGATACAAATCCTTTTAGATGAACTGAAGAATAACTTAATTCATAATATTTTACAATTTGTTTTTCTTTTGTTTTATTTCTAATAATTTTTTTGTCCTTCAAATACAGACTTAGATTTTGTAAAAGAAACAGGAATAGAGAAAGTCTGAATAATAACACTAGCTTTCTCCCCAAACAAACAGCTCTCCCTTCCTCCTTCCTTGACATTCTTCCTCCTGGAAAACATTGCCTTTGTCTCCTCCTCTGCCGTAACCTATATGCCTCATATCTAGTCTTCCTCCATTCACTCTACGTGTTCACATTTACCAACCACCTCCAGTTCCTGATCCTCATGCCTCGGGCCAGGGTGAATGCAATAACATCCTAGTTTTCTTGACTCAAGTCTTCCGGGCCCCTCTATCAGTGTGTCCTGCATACAACTTCCAGACAACTTCCCTGCAGCTGTATTTTCAGTAGACTCGGCCGCTGCTTAAAATCTTCAGGTAATGTTTCTTCAGGTCTTAACTCGTCTCTCCAAACCTCAGTGCTCTTTGTTGTCTGGTGTCTCCCAGGACTGTAGGAGTGCAGGCTTGGTCTGAGCCCCACGTGTCTCTGTTCTATACCACTGCTGGCATTGAGCTTTCTCTCTTCTGGTCTCCTTGCCTGAAATACTGTTGTCATCCCCTCCACACATCTAAATCCCACACAGTCATTGAAGACCAGACTTGTAATACTTCTGCCTTCACCAACCACCCTCTTTTCTGAACTGTCCCAAACTCTAATCTGTATTATACAAATGTTTTTTAGCTTAATAGTACATTGAGTGCCATCTGTGTTAATTTCTACACTTGGTTCCGTCTTGTTTTTTTCAGCAAGATGATGATCATCTTGAGGGCAGAAATCCAGTCTTATCCTCATTGCCCCAGATTTGACTCCACACTAAATGTACAATAGGTACTCGATAAATTCCAATATTGATTTCAAGGCACAGCTCCTCCCACATTTTAACATCTTTAAAATTGGGATACGTTTATAATTAACAGTGTCTTACAAATGCTGTCAGCCAGGCAAAAGTCACAATGTGGTTTTCATTGCCTACATATGTGTGAACTTGGCTGTTACTGTGTATGTTGTTGTACTTCAATTCGTTAAATGCACTCTTGGTACTATAATTGTTGAGTACAATTACCGTTTTAAAATATCTTCAAAAAGTTTGCACTATAATTCGATATTGAAATGAAAAGTTATTGTACATGCAGAAGTGTACTAAAACAGAGCAGCAGGGTATAAATTTGATATCAGCGAAGCAAATATTCATTGTTGGAGTAATGACTGCAATTCTGTATTCCTTGCAAAGCAACAACCAGCTGCTTTATAGGTCCTAAGAAATGATGACACTTACAAGTAAAGGAAGCTGTTGTCATATTTTGTCACTGAGCTATGAGCAAAAGTATTGCCTTTTATATGCCAAGCAATGCAACTTAGGGCTGGAGAATTTGCCAAATCCCTCACAATGGATAAAATAATTTTCGAAGCAATCATAGGCTGACAGGATTGATTCATATGTTGTGCAGAATGATCTTGAGGTATTTTGTCACAAAATATTGGTGTATCTTATAATTCACGGTGTCTTAGATTCGATAAAATATGATAAGCGTATGTGTGTGTGTATATCTTGCTTGCTTGCTTTCTTGATTGAGAATATGATGAATTTCTTTCAGACCCAAGTTAATTTTATTCATTTGTAGTTTAATGAACATAATTCACGGATTCTTCTTCTGGCTGTATTTTTTGGTTGTGACTTCGTTTTAACTTCTCATGTCTTAACTGAAGGAGCTACGGTCTGAGGTGGAACTGGAAGTATTAGGAGACACAGAAGGACTCAACCTGTCCTTCACAGCTCTCTGCGACAACAGAACCCCCGTCCCACACCAAAAGAAATGCTCCCACATGAAGGTGGGAGACACAGTAAGTAGACGGCCGTAGATCATCTGAAAAAAATAAGTCACAAGTTACCTTAGTTCACTGAAGGTGGACTTTTCCTTTCAAAAATTTCAAAAGTGATTTTCAAAGATTTCCCAATAAGTGCTTTTGGCAAAGCTGGTCCCCGTGCAGCTTTGTTTTCGATGCTGATCACCATGCATTTTGGTGGATAGAAGAAGAAGATAATTAGTATTTTCTTTTCCAGGCTTCATTCAACGTGACTGTGAGTATACCAAACTGTGAGAGAAGAGGCAGGCACATTATCATAAAGCCTGTGGGGCTGGGAGATGCCCTAGAAATACTTGTCAGTCCAGAATGTGACTGTGACTGTCAGAAAGAAGTGGAAGTGAACAGCTCCAAATGCCACAATGGGAACGGCTCCTTCCAGTGTGGGGTGTGTGCCTGCAACCCCGGCCACATGGGTCCCCGCTGCGAGTGCGGGGAGGACATGCTGAGCACAGATTCCTGCAAGGAGGCCCTAGATCTCCCCTCGTGCAGTGGGAGAGGCGATTGCTACTGTGGGCAGTGCATCTGTCACCTGTCTCCCTATGGAAATATTTATGGGCCTTTCTGCCAGTGTGACAATTTCTCCTGCGTGAGACACAAAGGACTGCTCTGTGGAGGTAGGCCATGTCTAAATCCACCTTACACGGCACCTGTGCAAGTAGCATGAAGGGGCTTTGTGTTCTTTGCACCTTCCACAGCTGCCTGGGCATAGTAGATGCTCAATAAATATTTGTTGCTCAACTGACTGGGTTACTCTTTAGACCTAAGGTAACTGATGCTTCTCTTGTATTTTTTCTGGCTCTTGCATTCTCTTGGGGTAAGATCTCTGCCAACCGAATTTACATCTCTATCATCATTTCCCTAAGAGTAAGTAGGAAGAGATGGAAAAGCTTTCTCTTTGATTATTACCCAGACTCTGCAAAACTGTGTGTAATTTGAAGTTCATTATCTTCCAGACTTTTCTGGATCAGGCTGCTGGGTATCTGACCCAACTCTTAAACGCCTATTACTTTGAAAAAATAAAAAGCTAGGCTGCTTACGGAGCATACTGCCAAGGACAAGGGACACAAAAATACTAAATGGACTTTCAGAGCCTTCATTCATTCCATAAATATTTATTAAACACCCATTATGTGACAGATACTAGGTTAGACACAGGGTATAATAAGATGAGTAAGGACATATGTAAGGAAGGCCATGGAAAGGGTAAAAAGGAAAAATTTCTTGGGATTTTTTGAGATCGAGAAAAGTTTTTAAATAGCAGAAATATTTACATTTTAATATCCTTTGTAGATGTAAAATCACTGTAGTTTAAGAATATATTACATATAACATGACTATTATAAAATCATTCTGTTATACACACATATATTTAAGTATAATCTATTCAGACAAGAATTACAAATATGTTAATATACTTTCAAATGATATAAATGTGTGTTACAATTGAAATGTTAACTGACTGCTGAGTTTAAGCTCTCACGTGTGCTTTTTCACAGTGTGTGAGCAGGCAGCTTTTCAAAACAGAAAGCCATTATCTTGAGAGAAAACTAAGCAAGTTATGTTTTCAAACCACAGTGTCAGGAACATATAAAAGAGACTGATTTTCAGGAAAAAAAGGCCTGAGCAAAGACAGCTCAAAGAATTCCAAGCTCTTTGAAAACCATTTGATACCCTTAGAAGTACCTACATTTCATTTCTTTGCTGCTGCTGTTGCTACCAATAGGTTCCTCTGAGGCTGCCTTCTTTCTTTCCCCCAGAGAGTGAAAAATTTAGGGTCTGTCCAGATTGAGACACATTTCTCTCCCCTTTCTTTCAAAGGTGTATTTCCTTACATAACAGGTGTGTTTCCAAACCCACATCGGTCCTCTTTTCCCAACATGCAGACAGGACATAGTCTGAAGCCAGAGGCCATCTCCACATCTTGGAAAGAATATATTAAGCTGAGCCCAGATTGCATTTCTAATAGCAATCTTTTAATAAAATATGTGCTCAAAACATTTGAAATTACCTTAAAAAAATTTTAAGTGTAATCTAATACAATATTAGCAATATTTAACAATTTTATTTATTTATTTATTTTTCCCCCCAAAGTCCTAGTAGATAGCTGTATGTCATAGCTGCACATCCCCCCAGTTGCTGCATGTGGGACGTGGCCTCAGCATGGACAGAGAAGCGGTGTGTCGGTGCACGCCCGGGATCCGAACCCGGGCCACCAGCAGCGGAGCACAAGCACTTAACCGCTAAGCCACGGGGCCAGCCCCAATATTAGCAATATTGACCCCACTTATATTTCACCCTTTAAATCTTAGATCAAACAGATCGAGGGCAGTGTAAATTGCTTAACTGTGTTCAGCAACAACACAGTTCTTCTGGTTTCTCAACAGTCTTTCATTTTATTTTGTATCATTCGTGTGAACAGACATAAACTCAAAAAGAGTTGACTTGGTCTGTGCTTTGTATTTCAGAAGGCCTGACAATAGTGCCACTCTTTGTATTGGATACAGTGATTGCTAAAGAAAATCTATTTAGAAAATACAATTATTTCTTCAATTGGACTCAGAAAACATCACCAATGCCAATTTCCATCATACTTTGGGGTACTTACAATCCTCAACCATTACCATTTCTCAAAAGCTATTTTGTTTGTTAGTTACATTGCAAACAATGTTACTCTATTACTAGTAACTTTCTCTTTAAAAAGGTATAATAAAATTAAGTACAATTATTCAAATTCAACAAATAGCTATGAAGTACCTACGGTGTGCTTGGCATTGTTCTTAGTATAAAAATTGTGCCTGGCCTTGTGAACAGACACTCTGTCATTGCTGCTGTTTGCAACAGAGGCCTGAATATGCCACAGCTTCACTTCTTGTGTAGATCTGACTTATTTTACAACTACTGTACTCAGCAATGTGCTGCTTCTCTGAAGGGCTATTATCACAGTGTCCTTTTTCATGTGCTTTCTTTCATCCATCTGCAAGCACTCACAGATATAGGGCTCCATTGATTTTTTCCCTTGCCCAAATTCCATTAGTCTTTTATATTTTGATTCTAAGAGACTGGAAACTCTAACAGGCAAATGGCATTACAGAAAAAACTTCCTGCCATTATGCACTTACAGTTATCAGTCAATGGCATTCCAGAAATATCTATCCCTCTGAAAGGAGTCTGATGATTTTTTCTTGATCTTTGGTTATCATCTTGCCTCTACATGAAACCATTATGAAGCTTTTGTTATTGTTGTTGTATGAACAGGAACTTTAGATAATTGGTTGCTTGTGGATATCAATTAGCAACTTTTGTGACCAGGTTGATGGTTCTGGAAGGCCTGCAGAAAGGAGGTTTTCTAAATTTCTGCCAAGTAATTCTTACGTGCAGTGATACCCTTGGGCATTCTCAAAGCATTTGGAAATGCACATTTCATTTTACAATATTATGTTGTATTAATTTTTCAGAATAAACTTCAATATAGAAATCCCTGCCTATCACGAAAGTAAGTTTCCCCTTTTGCTGAGGAAGAAACAAAAATCAATAGTAGTTGGGGGCCGGCCCCGTGGAGTAGCGGTTAAGCGCACGCGCTCTGCTGCTGGCAGCCTGGGTTCGGATCCCCGGCGAGCACTGAGGCGCTGCTTGTCAAGCCATGCTGTGGCGGCGTCCCATAAAACGTGGAGGAAGATGGGCACGGATGTTAGCTCAGGGCCAGTCATCCTCAGCAAAAAGAGGAGGATTGGCACGGATGTTAGCTCAGGGCTGATCTTCCTCACAGAAAAAAAAAAAAAAGAAAAAAAAAAAAGCAATAGTAGTCTAGAGGGTAACTTACATATAAAAATTAAATTAATAGTTTTGGCCTAAATCACCTAACTATTCTTAGCTTTGAGTTAATTAGTTCAATTATGAATTAAATAGGTTATAAAATGCAGTTGGAATATGTCTTAATGTTATGAATCCAGATAAATTTCAATTCATCTCTCACTAGAGAGTACATGTCTTTTTAGTATATATATTACTACATACTCAATTACTATAAATATATATTATGCCAAGAGCAATCAGAATCCAACTTCAAAATCTTTGCAGTTATCTCCTTTGTTCTGTGACTTCCTACTCCATGTCTCTTAAGGACAGGTCATGAAGACAGAAAAGTAACCACCTACTAGACCAAAACTTACAAGAGAAAACCCAGAATCCTTCTTTCTATAGTGAACACGGCAGTGTCTCCTACAAGTAGAAATTGTGATTTCTTTTACTTCTTTTTGGTTTTCAGTACAATCACAGGCTTTTTAATACTGATGGATAATTTTGCTTTCAAATTCTTCCTACTGGATAGTTTTTAGGAATAATGATATTAACCTACACTTATACACTGCTTATTTACGGGCCAGGCACTGTTCTAAACATTGGTCTATGTTATCTTAGGTAATCTTCATAACAATCCTATGAAGCAGCTACTAATAATCCCTCCTTACAGACGAGAAAACTGAGGCATAGAAAGGTCAGGTAACTTCCCCAACTTCACCCAGCCAGGGAGTACTGGAGCCAGGATTTGAACTTGTGCTATCTGGCTCTAGATCTGAGCATTCACCCACCACCACCACTCCTCTGTACCTCCGGAATGTTGCTAGAAGAGTAAAACTCATGAGTCCATGCCTGGTGCACATTTCTTTTTCTGAAGAAAAGTATCAGTTATGAAATTTTGTAAATAAATGTTATTTATTTGGAACATCAAATGCCTATTTTAGTATCTTAGGTGTGGTAGGCACCAAAAAAGTATTATGGAAAGAACACTAGTCCGTTATCTTAAATACTTTATAGTATTTCATACACCTTTATGTGGCGAGATCCCAAAGAGACTCTTCAGGATTAGATGAGATACTTGTCTGCAACAAGTCTCCACCCGCCTCCTTCTTCAAGCTGTCTCCGCCCTAGGTTTCTGCAACATCACTCATCCCTACCCCGCCTCTCAGTCTCTTCTGTAAGGATTCTTTTCTCTGATCACATTTTAAATGCTGATGCTCTGCAGGGCTTTTCTCACTCCACCTGCTTTCTCTGATGATCTGATCTACAGCAGCTTCAACCGCCACCTCTCCCCGATGGACCCCAAACATCGGATATATTCAGTCTCTTACTAGGATGTCTCATAGGCCCCTCAAACGCAATGGAGCCAAAAGTGAACTCATCGTCTTCCCCGCTCAAAGCTGCTCTTCCTCCTCTGCTTCAGGACAATTTACTCATTCAATAATTAAGCACTATCCTGTGCCAGGCACTGGCGATAAGGCAGAGCATGAGCTAGCTTCCACTCCAGGTCAGTGAACAGCTGCACCACCCACCTAGCAGCCCAGTCTGGTCACCCGGGAAGGATTCCAACGCTATGCTTTTTTCTCTGCTAAAATACCCGTAACTCTCTTCTTCTATCTTCTACCTTTATCTTCCACGTTCAGCTCAATTATCACTTCCTCAGGAAACTTCCCCAAAACTCTAGTCTAATTTGGAAACTCTCCCCCTATGTGTATAGCACTTACCACATTTTACTGTATTTATTAGTAGTAGTGTTTATTTGCTTGTCTCCTATACTAGACTATAAGTTCAGCGACATTGTCTTATTTAATTCGGTATCCTCATGCCTAATACAATCTTTGGCATATGGTATATGCTCAATTAAAGTTTGTTAAATGAATGAATTTGTTGAGCACTCACTATATGCCTGTAGGACATCTAATTGGGGAATGCAAAGCTAGGAGATTTACACATTATCTCATCTGACCACAACCATGGGAAGGAGATTTTATTCTATTTTACAGATGAGGCAGAAAGACAGCTTGAGTGATGTAGAGGTGGGGTACTACCCAGATCTGTCTTGCATCTCTATCCTATGGCACCTTAATTAAAAGCAAAAAATTGTAAAAACAGTTAAAAGAAAAAAATATATGTATATATATGTACACACATAATCACACACACAAACATACACACACACACATACACACACACACACACACACACAAACACCCCAAGTAGCTCTTATAGGCTTCTGGATTTTCTCATTTCATCTGGCTATAAATTCTGTTTGATATAACATCAGAAAATCAAATTGGTCTTCAGTTAAGAGACCAGATCAATAAATATACACAGTTAGCAAAATACTAAAATTACGTAAAATACATCTACACTTACCCTCCACCCATCCACACACACATTCACTTTTTTCTCATATTTTTTCTTCAGTCTTTTTGATGGTGTATAAAGGCAAAGAGAAAAGACGGCCCCCAAAATCTGGAAGTGGTTTTGGCCCTAGAAACGTAGAGGGTTTTGTTTTACAGATAACGGCGACTGTGACTGTGGCGAGTGCGTGTGCAGGAGCGGCTGGACCGGCGAGTACTGTAACTGCACGACCAGTACCGACTCATGCATCTCTGAGGATGGGGTGCTCTGCAGTGGCCGAGGGGACTGCGTCTGTGGCAAGTGTGTTTGCACGAACCCTGGAGCCTCAGGACCGGCCTGTGAACGTTGTCCTACCTGTGGCGATCCCTGTCACTCTAAACGGTAGTGTCTCTACTTTCTTCCGTCCCTTTTGTCCGTAGTTTCATGATGATCAAAGTTATAGTGACATGTTATCAACTCAGACCTCAGATAGTTTTTGCTGGGTTTGGTCTCCAAGCATCCATCAGAACACACAAACCCCGAAGGTCCCTGTCAGCCTGGCATGTCAGTCTCTCACCTGCCTCTTTCTCAGTCCCGATTATCCAGGACCACAATGTGACATTTCTGCTAGAGACTAGCATGGGAAAGCTGAGCTGATGTCTCACACTGATAACATCAGATCGCCTCTCGGGTACAATACCAGCCACACATGAGGAATGCCCTGGAGATAGACTGACAACACCCACATTCAGTACTTTTCAGGGGCAACAGACAAGTTTCTTTCTTATCTAGAAGTTTATAGCCTGACCTTACTGCTTCGTTCCTATCTATAGACTCATGGAGGCAAAGACGCAGAAAGACAATCTTAGCTTTCAATTTCTCCCCTCTTCTCTACCAGCATACTGTTTGGCATCTTTCTTTGGCTGTCATTCTCTGCAGCTATTGTGTATTGTATTTTCTTTTATACCGTATGAACAACAACAACAACAACAAAAATTTTTCTTATTTTCCAATAAAAAAACTATTTCTTTGGTTGGCAGCTAACTTCTTAATGGAAGTGGGGCAACATTTGTAGGTCAAGTGAAGCAAGTCTCCAAATGGGCAGTCTTATGACACTGTAGTGTGTAAAGTATTATGCAGCAAATATGCCTAAGCAGGTCATATTTTCATTAACTCTGGTACTCAAAATGGTGACATTTGCATTTCTGATGTAAACAAAGTAAGAAAATTAATATTCACTCAGCGGTTAGTCACCATTCAGGTGTCAAAACTTCTCTGTCACTGTGCCTGGACATACGCCAAGAGAAGCATGGGGACGTGGTTAGACTTACTTGAATAAAATGTAATGTCACGTGTCCTTTCAAGATGTTTCTTCTGTTACTTTTCTATTTCATTTTCTCTGTAAACATGATTCAATCTTAAATCTGGTTGGTAAAACATGAAATTAGCAATCAAAGTAGTTTGAATTTGAGGAATCAGGTAGAGTGATCTGCTTGGTGTTTATGTTAGTTTTGAGAAAAGTCCATTCTTCCGCTTACTCATTCATGCATTCATTTATCAAACAGGTATTAAGTACCTACTGTATTCCAGGAATCATGTTAGGCTGTGGGCATGCAGTGGTGACTGAAACAGTTATAGTTCCTGCCATCACAGGTGCTGAGAATCTAGTGGGAAAGATAGACATTTTTAAAAGTAATTATGATGATATCTGGGCTGACAGTTACGACAGGAGATATAGAGGGTGCTGTGGAGCTATATGGCAGGAGACAGGGCCGCTAGACTAGCTTGGGCAGCTATCAATGAGATGCACAAAGGGGCAGGGGTCTTAAGGGCTTCCACAATCTCCAGCAGCTCCTCGCAAAGCCACTCCAAGTAAATATATAACCTAGATAAATGCAATATGCTTGCAATGCAAAGCCGACTTCCAGACAAGACTTCTGTCCCCACTCCCACACAGATTGTTGCTCCTAATCCCTTCCTACAGAGGAATTTAGAGGCTTCTACTGCAAGAGAACTAACTGGTAAGTGTTAGGGAAGGCTTGCCTGAAGAAGTGCTGTTTCAGCTGAGATTTGATGAGGCATGGGTGGGGGTGGGGAATGTTTCCGGCACTTAGAAGAGTGTAAATTCTCATGGCCAGAGAATGCGAGAGGCAGCATGATGTGTGCCCACAGTAAGAAAACCTTTGCTGTTTTGGGTTACTCCAAACACAATCTGTTTGTAAAGTGATTAGCAGCACAAGATTAATTCAGGGTCTAAGTTTTACTTTGTTGCATAGACATTATTAGAGTAGCTTCATTCCTCATCTATGTTCTTGGAAATACACTTTTCTGTAAGTAGCGATCTTTTATTAAAAAGCCTGCATTAATGAGGATCCAGGCTGTAACCCTTAGCTTTTGAAAATACCCCTATCAAGGCCAGGACTCACTCAAAAGAGTTACAGAAAAGTGAATCTTTAAAATAGTCATTCATGACATATACGAATTCTTGGAATTCTGATTAAAATACAGACGATTTCTGTTAAGAAATTCAAACTTTGTCTAATCTCTAATCATAATTTAGCCGCAAAAACCCTTCCCAGGAAAATGAAAAGATAGCCAAATCAAATACCAAAATAATTGTTTGTTTGTTGCTGTTGTTGTTGTTTTATTTAACCAATCAGAAGTGATCTTTACAGATAAATGAGGATGGTAGCTATTATCAAGGTTGGCTCAGGGAACATTGATGACCGAGTGGAATTCAGAATAAAGCAGTTTCCTCTTGGACATCACCCAGCTATCTTTCTGAAAGTAACAGAAAGCAGTGTCATCTATGAGACACTCTTCTAGTGTGAACCACGGCAACGGCATTAAAGCAATATCCCAGCTACATATCTATTTTCCACCAACATGAACTGATAGATTCTGTTGACTGATGTTCACAGGAGCTGCGTTGAATGCCACCTGTCTGCAGACGGCCAGTCCCGAGAAGAATGTGTTGACAAATGCAAACTAGCTGGTGCGACCATCAATGAAGAAGAAGGTTCTGCTTGTCTTAAATTGCTTTTGTTTCTTTTACATAGTTCTTGAGAGGCAAAAACTCTGTGAAGGGCTTTTGCGTAGCTCATTCTCATTTGTACCAGGGCATTAGTTCATCGATATTAGTTTTTAAGCGTAAATGCATTCTGTAAGGCTGAAAACTTGAGGGTTTGGGATACAAGTAATTTAAAGTCATGGCTATTCTATTTGGCTTCAGCTCTGTGGGCAAGTTCATCTTTGCTTGACAAATGCAATTGTAGAGAATTCCAGAATGCTATATTTTTTGAATTAGAGAAGAAGAAAATTGAAGAAATAGCTAAATGTTAACCCCCAAACCTGAAATCTTCTTCTATGATCTGATTGCCTAATTTCAACATAGGACAAAGGGAAGTGTAATATGAGTTTCCTGGCAGCAGCCTTCAGACACCAGGCGGTTTCTGGTTAGTGGTCATTTCCCCCCAACTCCTCTCCATACGCCATTACTCCCTACTTTCCAAATGTGGGAATTACGTGACCACCCTTAATTCCCTGTTGCCTCACCCCCAAAATACGAGAAGGGCCTGTTACCTTTAACTGCTAAGTGAACTCTGCTCTTGCTTTCACCTGTCATTTTTAAATTTAATTCCTTAAAATCAGATTCTTTCTAACGACAAAATGTCATCTCAAATATTTAAATAGGTTATATTTTAGCTGGGAAGGCCATTTAAAAAATAATTTGCAAACTTTAAAACAAAGAAGATGACTGACTCCTCCTGAAGGGACAACATGGGGAGATTTGTTTTTCCATCAGCACAGGCTCTGTGCATTATCATGCTGCTCAGGTAGAGCTGCTGCTCTGCATGCGTTAGACACGCGACCAAGACGTATCTCAGGCGAAGTGAAATAATCAAGACAATAATTTACAACACTCTAGGATATGTATCTTGAATGGATGGAATTAGAATACAGGAATTAATCCATTTCCGAAATGGAACAAGTTAGTAACATTTATATTGCTTTGCAAATTACCTCGATTGTTTGAAAACTGAGATTTCTGACTGTGCATAGTTGAATAACCCTATATGGAGGTGCATACTTAGTGCTCAGAAAACCCCTCGTCTGTACTTTTCTGGACTAAAGATAAATATGCCAGATAGCAGGAAATTGGACAAGATGTGTGTAACTTACACTAATATTGAAGGTAAGATGGGGTAAAAGCACTGAGTAAAGTGGCTTTTGTGGACTGTCCACATTAGTAACTAGTACAGAGTCTCAGCATCTCCTTCTGGCTTCATTTCACAGCAAACAGTTGGGATATTTACCAGGTGTTTCTGAGACATGACTAAAAATTGCAGAAAATGCCCTGCAAATTACTAGAACTCAATTCACTAGCAGCAGGAGAAATCTAAAGTGGTCAGGGAAAAAAAAAGGAAGCATGCAAACTTTGGAAACACATAAATCATGAACAGGGAGTTACTACACTTAAATACATAGTTTTCTGAATAGATTATCAGACATGCTTGGATTTGAGAGAAAGACTAGGTCTCAAGTGGCATTTAAAATATTTGCATTATTCTTTTTGTGAGACTATCTTCAAAATAAGGGACTATAGAAAACTCACTTTTCTAATGAACGTTTTTATAAGTCCTATTTTAAGTTACTCACCCAGTGAGCTATGTTATTGGTCATACCACCTTGAAATTATCATGACAGATTTGCTCGTCCACAGAGTCTTTTAGCAGCCCACTCTTCCCCCAACAAGGACGTGGAGAGTAAAGTAAAATAAGCCTAACTTTATAATCCATATAAATTGTTCCTCAACTGTGCTATGGTGACTTGTTTGGGCATGTGTAAGGACATGTGGTTTAACTTTATTCATTCCATTTTACTGAAAGAGACATTTTAAATTTACCCCAACATTTATGTACTCAGAACATTGTTACTCAAAGTGTGTTCCTTGGAACACTAGTTCTGAGAGTGTTCAATGGGAAAAAGCACTCACAGTCATATAAATTTTGGAATTGGGAAGCTAAGCTTTTCATTTTCTTTGCAGGACTCCTGAGAGTTGTTATGCACATTAAGTTAAAAGTGCATTGCCAGTTTTCAGGAAAGGCAAAAGGATGAATTAGTGTAAAAGGAGAGATTCTCAAACTTACTTGACCACAGAACCCTTTTTTTCCTTGGGAAACTGTGTTCTCTGAGAACTGATGACTTGATTCCAGTGCTGAGGTCTTAAACACATAGTTATCTTGATTCAGTGGTGCAGATGGTTTATATTTTCCACATCCTTCCTGGACCTTCCTAGTCCCTGGCCTCCTCAACCCCATTCTCACATTTCTTCCTTTTCTAAGTATGATTTCATGGACTGCCTGAGATCTTATTTTCATTATATTATTCTAGAACAGCACTGCTGGCACTCATAAAGGTGAGTAAAAAAAGAAAGGTCCGTTTCTTACGAACAACAAAAGAAAACCTTAGCAGCTAATTATGCAAATCTCTGGCCAAAGCTAGACCCTTTCATTGAACATTCAATAATACAATTTTAATACCCAAACACCACAAAACAGACTAAATCTAGAGTCAGAACAGTCATGAAAAGGAGTGGTGAACTAATTAAAGCAAGAAGAGAGTCATGACTCAAAGGTCATATTAGCAGTTCCATTAAAACTTAAATAATCCTAGCCAAGTAAATTAAGCCTCCCTGTGCTTCAGTGTAGCTATTTAAGAGCAAATAAAAAAGCAGGATTAATATTACTGAAAGGAGTATTATAAGCCGTCCACAGATTTTCTACCCCAGAATAAAATGTTCCATTACGTAAGTGTGAGAGGAACAGAGTGGGCGGGCACTGTCATGGCGGAGAGGGGGAGGGAAGGAAAAAAAACACTCCAACGAGAAAAAACATGTTCCCCAAGACTTCATGAATCCCAGTTAATTGGAGTGGTGTGATAGGTGGAGATGTGGTGAAGGCCATCTAAAAATGACCAAAATCTGAATTATATATGCAGTGCTCTTGCTATCAAACAAGGGAAATACAAATTTCACTAATCAAGTGTTGCCCAGAGGTTCCTGAACCTCTTAATTAGAATCAGTATTAAAAATACTTATCAAACAACTCACTAAAGTATAAGCTTCTGTGCATACTACTGACCTGTTGAATGAGAATACCCAGGGGTACATCTCTGGAATCCGTATTTTCAAAACTCCCAGATGGTTCAGATGATTGTCAGCAGTGGGGAATGACCAGATGAGAATGATCTGGAGTTAGATTTCTTACTATTCCTGTGTAAATAGATGCTTCTAATGGGTTAAAAACCAGTTTGTTTGCTTAAGTCTATCATCTGAAATCTTATTAATAATGCTAAATGTTTTACCAGTCCCTGTTTTCATAGATAATACAGGCATACTTCTCACAGACCCTGGCATGAGGTTTTTATCTTATAAATTAAATGCAAAAACAATTTAATATTTCTATCTTTTGATGGCTATGGTGTTGTTGAACCAAAAATATCCTATTATTTCATTTTTCTTTGTTGGAATCAGAGGAACACATGTAGATTCTGTTGTATTAAAACTTTTTTATTTTTAAGCTAATGAGAAAAGTTATAGATCTAGCAAGAGTCAAGATTATCTGGGACAGTCCCAGTTTTAATATTCTGACCCGTTGTGTCATAATACACTAATATTAGATCACATGTCTTAAAATTTTAGGTTAAGATTAAACAGTCATTCTATTTACAGGTTTCTTAAAAAAGTGTTTGTAACAGTATCATTAAAAAGTCTCCAACTTAGAAGATAGGAGAACTTTGAGCAAGTTTTGTTTTTTTTTAATTAGGAAAATGCTACATAATTTTGGCATAAGTGCCAGACCACTAAAATTTCTGATAAATAGTATTAACTTCTCAGATTGACCATTTTACTATATTTTCAATTTCTGTTATGACATTTATTTTTTGCCTCTTGAATAAGCTCAACAAGAAAAAGTTTCTATTTGGAAAAGATTTGAGGGAAACTGGATTATGCTTTTTTTTTGGTGAGGAAGATTAGCCCTGGCAACATCTGTTGCCAATCCTCCTCTTTTTGCTGAGGAATATGGGCCCTGGGCTAACATCCGTGCCCATCTTCCTCTACTTTATACGTGGGATGCCTGCCACAGCATGGCTTGATAAGCGGTGCATAGGTCCACGCCTGGGATCCAAACCTGTGAACACCGGGCTGCCAAAGTGGAGCCTGCAACTTAACCACCATGCCACCAGGCCGGCCCCTGGATTATGCTTTTTTAAGAAAAAATTAGGAAAGTGGCCATACTGCATGGTAGGCAACTGTCATCCTGGTTCCTTTTAATCTGGGGTTTCTCTTACCCTGCTGGTCCATAACACTTCAATCTCCATTTCCTGATATTAATTTGTATTTACTGTCATGGTAATACATGGCCAGCAATCTTGACTATGACATTGTGGGAAAGGCACCTTTAGAAGTATCAGTATCAGTTTGGACTGTGTAGTCTCTTTCTGAAATGTAATCTAGGCTTCCTCCCAGATGCTCTCAGCCGAGAAAAACATACAGCACCCTCATTACCATAATCAGGGCCATTCTACTCCCAAGACAGCGAGGCGCACCTGCCTTGAAGTACTGTCGTTCTGTTGAAATTCTGCCCGCATCAGTTTGATAGGTGCATCTGATGGTCAGTCCTGATTGACCACACCTGGAACTGTTCTTCTGGAACATGAGTAGAAACTAAAACCTCAGTGGGTGGGAAAAATCCTAAGTCTTGTCTATTCCTATTCTGCAATGTTGAAAATTACTATTTGCATATTAAAACTCAACACTACTTTGCTTTAAAAATAATCTCTTTTGGAATCTCATTTAACCTAATGAATGACTCCTTTATCTGCAGATTTCTCAAAGGACGGTTCTGTTTCCTGTTCTCTGCAAGGAGAAAATGAATGTCTTATTACATTCCTAATAACTACAGATAATGAAGGGAAAACCATCATTCACAGCATCAGCGAGAAAGGTGGGTGGCTTGTCTTCCCACGTCAATGGCAAGTGATGCTACATGGGAGAGGAGAAAACAACCGGAAAGACACTTTAGGTAGCTTGCCAGGAAAGATACTTCCAAATTTTTGATACAGCACTTCTACTTTCCCAAGGATTGAAAGATGCCTGTTGAAGAGTTTGATATGTTCCAATGTCTCTTATTAAGACCAGATAACATGATGGGTGTATTGGTACCAATCACCATCTTCCTGAAAGCAGGGTGATGAAGTGTAGAAAGGTGCACTGATTAAATGCAATGTAAGCAAAAGGTATATCTTTGGGAAAGGCTAACAGGGAGAGCATAATGGTCTAAGAGAATGAGTTTTGAATCAGGCAAACTTTGGCTCAAATCCTGTTCCACCTTTTAACAGCTACTTGACATTCTAGAAGATACTTGCCTTCCTCAGTCTTTGTTTCCTCATCTGTAAAATGGGAAAAATAATAGTACTTTCTTCTTTGGGTTGACTCAAAGATTAAATGGAATAATGCCTGTAAAATATGTACCCATTCATAACCTATAGTAATGGGTCATTAAATGATAATGCTGAGTCAGAAAAGACATGAAGCACCAAGTGAGGAAGGAAGTGACCAACAAAGGAAGTCCAAGAGTCCATCGCTTCTGTGGGTTTTCATCCACACCAACTCATGGCGTTGGCTTGAGCCTCAGGAAGCCCTCAAATAAAAATCTCATCTTCAGTGAAGGGGAAAGAGAAGTTACATTACGTAGAAAAGAAAATAGTGGAAAAGGTACTTTTGTTGAGAAGTTCTTAAATTTTAGTGAGTGTCAGACTCACCTGGGGAGCTGGTTAAAATGCCTGCATCCAGAGTCAGCAGGCCTGATGTGTGCCCAGGACTCTGCACGTTAACACTACTTTAGGTGACTCTGATACAGATGGCTTCGAGATCTCCTATGAATGAGCCACTCTGCTCTACCAGTCCTGGCTGCATTCTTAGATACCAGTGCCTCACCTCTTCTGTCTTCAGTAAATGACGTGTCCCTAAACACAACACATTCCTGGCAGAAATGACAGCTGCATTAAATCATACCTCTCCAGACCTTGTCAGCAACCTCCTCCTCCCCCTCCTCCTCCAAAAAGCCTGGAGCCGAAGTTCTGCCCCAGACAATAGCAGCAACGGCAGGCTAGAAGGCAGGTGTGTTTTGTTGTGAAGGCAGATGTGTTTTGTTGTGTGTGCTTGCTTATCAATGTGCTAACAAAATATTAACTCCTGAATTTGAAACCAAGAGCATCCAACTGCCATTTCTTAAGAATGTAAAAACTAAAGCAATACCAAAGTAACCAAAAAGTGAATTCAAGACATTATAAACCAAGAAAGAGAACATGATTAGAAAAATACCGCATTGCAGTGCTGAGGGGTCAGGGAGAGGTAGAGGTCAGCACGATGCAAGATACTTGGGTATGATTGTGACCATGACCTTGAAGCTCAGGTGGGCTGGGTGCACCTGGAGACTTGCTCTTGAAAAATCTCATGTAAATCCACTTCTCTGAAATGCATATATAAAATGCATTGTAGAGGTCATTAGTTAAGAAAATTTAAGGTGAATCTTGCTGTACAAGGAAGAATTACTTTATAGTACAAAAAATCTGCCTCCTCATTATCTGTTTTATAAAGTCAAATTCTTCAACCTCACCCCCAACTCTCTGTTTGTGATTGTGGCAGTGGCTTTGGCAAGTTCTCCTGAAATCAAAGCCATTCCTTGTAATATTGATTCCACTGGAAAAACGAGTTCCAAACAACAAAAATGAAATTCCAGAATAGAGTCTGTTTTTAATTCAGGGCCTTTTGTAGCTAGTTGGTTTGCTTTGACTTTTTTTTGGTGAAACATGCCTTTAGCTGATAAATGCCTTCTCATTGCTGAACTGTTGGGGTTTTTTTCCTTTTATTCTTCCCCAGAATGTGAGTGGCACATCAACATGCCCTCCTTCCGAGAGTACTCAGATGCCCCAAGGCCTCTTTTTTTTTTTTGTGAGGAAGATCAGCCCTGAGCTAACATCCATGCCAATCTTCTTCTTTTTGCTGAGGAAGACCAGCCCTGAGCTAACATCTATTGCCAATCCTCCTCCTTTTTTTTCCCCCTTTTTCTACCCAAAGCCCCAGTAGATAGTTGTATGTCATAGTTGCACATCCTTCTAGTTGCTGTATGTGGGACGCCGCCTCAGCATAGCCAGGGAAGCGGTGGGTTGGTGCATGCTCGGGATCCGAACCCGGGCCGCCAGTAGCAGAACGTGTGCACTTAACCACTAAGCCACGGGGCCGGCAACCTGCCCAGCCCCATGCCTCTTTATTAAGCCTTTTTATTCTCCCTGTGCCTTTGTAGTAGGGAAAAGTGAGGGAAAAATTACCTCCCTGAGGCTTAATAGAAATCACCTGACAGCTCCAAGGATGCTCCTTTCCTAGCAAATGTTCTAGGACCAGAGCTTCCACAGGTCCTGAGGGCAGAGCCCATTCCCAGGAGTCTGTAGTCCCCTCTCATAGCTTTAAGACCAGAGAATCCCAGGGCAGCTGGCTGGAGGAATGGATAGAAAAGAGGCAAAATGAGAAAAGAGGAGATGGAGGTTAAGGATTCCCAGGGTCCTCCAAACAAACTGAAAAAGAAACCTGATGAAGAGTCACCATCAGGGCGTGTGTGGACATAGGGAGAGCTTCACTCATCTCTTTTCTTACATCTGGAGAAACATTCAGAAGATAAGAGCCACAGCCAAGGACTGATAGTTGGGGAGACTTCCTGGCAGGGATATGGATGTGGATGTTACACCCACAAGTTCCAAATTGGAGGTTCCAGGTCCTTGAGGTCTTGAGGATAGAAAAGAGGGAAAAGTGCATTTATTGTAATAATAATAATAATATAATAGCAGCTCTCATTTATTGAACTCTTACTAATACTGTATGCCAGGTATTGTTCTATATGTTTTACATGTATTAATTCATTTAATACCCTCAAAACCATATAAAGCAGGTATTGCTATTATTTCCATTTTGCAGGTAAGGAAGTTGAGGCATAGGGAAGGTAAATACGTTGCTGGGTTTTGCAGCAATTAAGCACCAGTGCTGGCTGGGGAACTCTGGCAGTTTGGCTTGGAGCCCACGCTCTTAACTACTGTGCTATACTGCCTCCCACTGGCCATACAATCATAGTAAACATCTGAATACCAAAAATATATTAGTTAGATCAGCACTGTCCAATAGAAATGTTATGCAAACCATATATGTAATTGGAAATTTTCTAATAACCACATTAAACAGTAAAAAACAGGTGAAATGAATTTTAATGTTTTATTTAATCCATTATATCCAAAATATTGTCATTTTAACATGTAGTCTATATAAAAATTATTAATGAGATGTTCTACATTTTTTTCATACCCAATCTTCAAGTGTATTTTACACTTACCACGCACCCTAATTCAGAAAAGTCATATTTCTATTGCTCCATAGCCCTATGAGGCAGAGCTACCTGATTGGCAGCATCAGAAATTCAGGGCCTTACAAGGAGGTGCAGCACTGACCTGGACTCGATAGGACTGCACTCAGTGATGAAGGTGGTCCTTTTCTAGAAATCAGTCTGAGCATCTCAAGAAATACTAAAGAGAAAAGGGGAAATTTCTATTGTGTAATACCTGCTCTGGTACTTGGGCCAAAATCTTTTCTTGAGAAATGTGTAATTCCCAATGACTCTAAGTTCTTAAAATAATTATCTCTGCCAGGCTATGCCTCCTCCTCCTTTATTTATTCCCTACAGGAAAGCCCTCCTAATTCATGGTCTGGCTGCAGGGTATTAACAAGTTTCCTCTCGCTTTGAGCAAGAACATGCTATGCCCTACCCCAGCCATTTCGTAGTCAAAGATGTAACCAGTATATATTCTCATTGACATGCACCTGCTGCTTTCTTTGCAGGAGTGTTGCTAACCTATTAGAAGCAGCCATGGTTCATTTGCTATGCTAGAAACTGTCTTTAGATCTTCATACTGTAGTAGCTATTTCATTAGCTCCTTTACTTATTTCTGCATAATCTCCTTACATGGTTTTTTGGCTAAAGAACAAAAGTGTGTGAGGCCAGGCATCGTGCTGTTAGGGAGTCATTAGTCCTGCTCAAATTCACATCAGCTATAGATCCTTACCTTGAAAGCAGCATGACTAGTCCTATGTGTATAACTCTCCTTATTAAATATCTAAAAGCAGTAAGAGTTAGGATAAACTAAGCATGATTCATTTCTTCCCCAGATACCACGGATTTGCCTCACTTCTTGCAGAGGGAGGCAGATGTTTAATGATAATTTTTATGTGGGATTTTTTTCCCATGAAAGCAAGGGGAGAGCTTAATTATAATGTTTCATTAAGAAATGTATCATCTCCCAGGCATATTGCAAGGATTATTAGTCATTCTGCTGTCAATGAAGGAAGGTACTGTATAATTGCAGAATTATATTAATATCATCAATAGAGTCAAAATAACATTTCATAGAATATTCGAGTTGAAAGGACTATACAGAACATCTAATTTCCCAAACTTCCCTGAAGATAAGAATCATTTGGGATACTTTTAATGATAAAAAAATCTATTGCTCCATCCAAGACCCACTGAATCAGAATCTGGGGGTGAGGGTCTAGGAAGCTGTGGGTTTAATAAGCATGAGCACCTGGGCTTAATCTTATCATCAGGGATGTTAAGGTAGCAATGAAGTCCCTCACCTTTGTTTTACAGATGAGGGTCCTGGGGCTCAGAGAGATGGAGGGACTGACAGATTTCAGACAGTACATCAGATGGGAATTGAACTCACCTCTCCCTATCCCAGTGCAGGGACTTTCCAGGACATCAGGGCACTGCATTAGAATTAAAATACAACTGAAAGCCATGATTGTCTTCTGTCTATTTAAAAAAAAAAATAAGAAGCAGCAAAGAGTAAACTTTTCAGGGGGTGGGTTTTATATAACTTTGACTATAATCTCCTAGACGGTTTATGTTTCAAGAAAATCCACGAAAAAGTAACTATCTGTGGTGTGTGTTTCCACACATTCCATTTCTACTTTATCATATACCCAGAAGAGACCATCTTGAGTGATTGAACTATAGTCTTTTTCACGGTCCTTTAAATATTCTACATGCATTAATTGTCACTCTTTTGGATTCTAATTCTTCTTGAGTCAGCCATTCAAGTATATATCCATTTGCTTTGAATAACGAAACTCTTGCTTTATGTTTTGTTCTACTTCAAATGAATAGAGCTATCCTTCAACAAATAACTCATTTTTTTTAATTCAGCAAAACAAAAAGTGTTACTATTTTCCCTCTACTGGAGAGAAAGTGCAGTTGGAAAATTTAACGAGAAATGTTTTCTCTTTGTCAAAACATTAATTGTACCATCTTCTTAATATAATTTTCTTTGTTTCCACAGACTGTCCAAAACCTCCGAACATTCCCATGATCATGTTGGGGGTTTCGCTGGCTATTCTTCTCATTGGGGTTGTCCTACTGTGCATTTGGAAGCTGCTGGTGTCATTTCATGATCGTAAAGAAGTTGCCAAATTTGAAGCAGAACGGTCAAAGGCCAAGTGGCAAACGGTATGCGAACACCTAGGGGCTCCTCCTTGTCTAGAGGAGAAAGTGTCTTGTGGAAGAGATGGGGTGTCAGCTTTCTTCGGCTCTAAAAGAGAATTAGAATGTCATGTTATTTCTCTACTCTTCTCACCGTGTCCCCAACAGCTTTGATTTCTATTCTGCTTTGGGGGCAAAGGAACCTCTGTCCATTATCTGGGCCCCAGATACCCTTCATTCCATACATTTGTCTCTCAGTGCAGCGGGGAATTCCCCTACTCTGAAGAGGCTCATGAAACTCCTTCCACAGCCGCTTAGGAACATCAAGGAAATACATTTTATTCCTTACCACCAGGAGGATCCCTCAGGCCCCATTTGATAAAGCATAGGTGCTGTATCTAAACATTTCCATAAGTCAGTTATGTGATAGCTAATGGAATGATATTCATGGGTAGTTTGACAGTTCATGCCAATTTCCATGGAAATACTCGTTACTCACAATAGGTTACAAAGCAAAGTTGAGAATACTTTTTAAATACCATCCAGTTATTTTTTATGAATAACATAAATTTTAAGCAGCTACCTGAGAAAAAACCCCAAAAGTATCAACCTTTAAATATATGGACTCAGTAGATGTAATTTATGTGTCTCCTCTTCACAGTAGGCAAACACAAAGCAGGATTCCAATTTTCTATGTTTCTTTTCCACAGGAGAGATAATTACATTTCTAGAGTCCCATAGAAACAATTTCATGGTTTTAATTTCATCTCTCTATCTCTAATGATGTGTCCAGCTATCTAATAGCAATTATCTTACATTGCTGATTCTAAAAACAGTGATGTCACTGGAGAAAATACAGGCAGACACAATGCTCCTTTGGGCTCATCTGCCCAAATAAATTGATGTTAACACTTTTTCTCCAAATTTATATTGATAGCTTCAATTCCTAAAGCAAATAGAATTTTCTGTTTTGGATAAATTTATCTTGATAAGAGATGCTTATATTTCATGCAGTTATTTTGAAATAGCCAAAATATATGGTGCAGGACAATGGACAATGAAAATTTTCATCTACTTTATCTTCCCATTAAAAATGGCTTTAGAGGGCCGGCCCCGTGGCTTAGCTGTTAAGTGCACGCGCTTCGCTGCTGGTGGCCCGGGTTCGGATCCCAGGCGCACACCGACGCACGGCTTCTCCGGCCTTGCTGAGGCCGTCTCCCACATACAGCAACTAGAAGGATGTGCAGCTATGACATACAACTATCTACTGGGGCTTTGGGGGAAAAAATAAATAAATAAATAAAATTATTAAAAAAAAAAATGGCTTTAGGGGCCGGCCCCGTGGCTTAGCAGTTAAGTGCACACCCTCCACTGCTGGCAGCCCCGGGTTCGGATCCTGGGCGCGCACCAGTGCACCGCTTCTGCGGCCATGCTGAGGCTGAGTCCCACATGCAGCAACTAGAAGGATGTGCCGCTATGACATACAACTATCTACTGGGGCTTTGGGGGAAGAAAAGAAAAAAGGAGGAGGATTGGCCATAGATGTTAGCTCAGAGCTTGTCTTCCTCAGCAAAAAGAGGAGGATTAGCATGGATGTTAGCTCAGGGCTGATCTCCCTCAAAAAAAAAAAAAAAAAAAAATGGCTTTAGACACAACAACCAAATGCAACATGTGGGTCTTGTTTTGATCCTGATTTGAACAGTCCAACTGGAAAAATACATATTGTGGACAACTAGAAAAATGTTAATATAGACCAAGTGTTAGAATGATGGCAAGGAATTATGGTTAATTTGATAATGATGGTATGATGGCTTTGCTAGAAAATATCCCTATTTTGAAGTGAAAGGAAATGAGGGCTGGATTTGCTTTGAAATAATTCAGGCAGAAGAGATAGAGGGATAGGTGAGTCTACAGAGGTTTGTTATACACGTTTCCTCTTCTTTTGTGTTTTATGGATTTTTCATAATTAAACAAAACTCTTTAGGAAAGTAAATTGTAGATTTGCAATGAGGATATAATGTATCCACTCCTAACAAAGTAACATGTAACCTGACAGGTGAGTTTGGTGAATTAGAACATAGTACTATGAGGCCAAAACGTCAAGGCAGTTAACTTCACCTGATCCCCTGGCCAATAGATGTTGTTTTTAACTCTCACCAACTGTCAAGGAAATGCCTGGCAATGATCAGAAGGGCAGCCAGGCAAAAGAATGTGGTTAAGTTGGCACAGAAAACAATAGCAGCAGTTAGTTGCACAACCACCAGCCCTGTGAAGTAGTCTTGATATCCCCATTTTGAATGTAAGGAAACCAAGGCTCAGAGAGGTTAAGAGACTTTCCAAACTGTTGGGCCATGGTGGAGCTGAAATCCTAATTGCAGCCTCTTCTTTCAAGCACAGCCTTGACCCTCCTAGAAATAATAAGCAGGTGTTCTGCAAACAATCACTTGGGCAATTATGCGATGTATATTTACTAACCAGCACATTTTAATGTTCTCCTACAAAGGCATGCATACTGACAAATGATTAAATCTTTAAAATAGCATTTTAATTAACAGTTAATTTCCCCAAAACATGAATTGTTTTCCCTCAGGATGTAGAACATGACTGAAATTCAAATGCTGAATTTTTGCTATTTCTTCATCTAAAATGAAACAAAAATATGCATTAAACAGATAGAAGCATAAATGGAAAATATTATTCCCTTGTTAAATTGAGTTTCTTTGAATAACAAATGTTTGATGTTCCTGACTAGATAATGACTGGGTAATAATTATGCACTTGGATGCAAGAGGTTTAATTCAAATAATTCAATTCAAATTTCACTAATATATCCTATTGGAAAAAAAACTATTGCTCAATGCATCCATTTTGGAATCCTCAATTTGATTCTGTTTTTATCTGAAACCTATTTTTTCTTGAATAACTGAATTTGACTGGTCTTCAAAAGCCAGAGGACCTCTAGGGACCGTAGAGGTAGTTGAGTCTCTTGACCCATTGGTCCCCATTGGACTCTAATGGTGACAGAGATCAGGACGAGAAAGAGCTTCCTTCTTGCCTCCTGAAACATTTCATCATAGCCATAAAGAAAGGTTACCTTTTATTACACTTTTAAAAATACCCCCCCCCATATTCTTTATGAAAACACAAGGGGAAGATATTTAAATTCATCTTTGATTAGACATTTTTTCTAGGATGACAAGTCATTAACTAGAGGCAAAAAATGTTCAGTCTGACATTTCGTGCAGTCATGGATTGATTTTGTACCGTGTGAAGCAAATCAGGTCTGCGTTTGGCAGCTAGGTAATCATTGAGAGAACTGTGGGTCATGACAGAGAGCTTTCTTATTACGACTTGTTCAAGCTCTAAAAATGTGCCATTGCATTTGCAGAATCCACAGCCTAATGAGCACCCCAGACTCCTGGGGGAATCAGCCTAGTCACCCCAGATGGTTGGGGGAAACTGGCCTTGTTTAAACGGTGAAGGAGTGCGGATCCACTCAAAATGGAGCTAGACCGAAGCCTGTGTCACAGCTGGCCCTAGGGGAGACAGGACTGGACATTTTCACACTTTCTCCTGCCAATGAAACCTGTTTGAGCTCATTCTCCTGAGCTCTGATCATCAGCCAAGGGCAGGAAACATGACTGCCCCCCACCGATATGTACCTGCTCTTTCTCCACCTCTAAACCTCTTACTACAGGAGGTCTGCTTCATCCATCACCCCCCATTAGCATGCCCAGCCCTATAACTAGCTTTGCAAGAGACTCTCAGAATATTGTAGACCTGAATAAAGTTGCTTCAAAATACAGAAGGAAAATGGCAGAATCAAAATTAAACATTCAACTAAATGTCTACAAAATAATATTATGTATTCAGTCAACTGCAACTCAAGTCACCTTCTTTATAGTGCATATAAATTTTATTTAGTGTGGGGTGTGGGTACATTTTAATATGTTTCACATGATACGGGGTGGGGCCCACAAAAGAGTTCCTAGTCCTATGAAAATCTTAGCTGGCCCTACTCACAGCCCATTTACTCTTTCGGGGTACCTTTCTCTTCCCTTCTGCTCCCTCTTCCTCCAGAACAGTGCCCCACCTGCATCCTCAGCCCGCACTTCTTATTTTTTCCATTTTTCCTCTTCAAATGAGTCCCTTATTCTTCTGTAACCAACTTAAACTTAATAGCTTATAGTCTCTTAAACTTAATAGAATTCCATACATGATTTTTGTTTGCAAATGAGATTCTACCTGCCTCTAAGACCACATCAGTCTGCCCTTCACCCTCCAAATCCAAAGTTCTTATGGCAGCAAGACTAAATAAGGCCCTCAGAATTATCCAGGCTGACCTGGGGAGTAGAAGCAATATGGTGACTTGGCCTTCACTCATCATCCACCACCAAGGAACCTCTTTTCTATTTGCCCTATTACTGAGATAGCATCTCTCTCCAAAGGCACATGAACAAAGGTAACATGTTACTCAGTCAGAGGTCAGGCCACTGGCTCTGGGCAACAGAACAGCTGCAGATGTGATTCTTCCTCACAGTGAAGACATTGCCTCTCCCCAGCAACACATTTCTTGAAGGCAGATACTGTGTCATTCATCTTTTTGTATGCTTCTATCATTTCACTTTTCCCTTTTTTTGCTTTTTTACTTTATATTTCACTTTTGGGTCACCTATTGGTTCATTCTACTCGTTCAACAAATACTGAGTGCCTACTATGGACTAGGCACCATTTTCAGCTCTGGTAAAACAGCAGTGAACAAAGCAGCCAAAGTCTTGTTTTCTATCCATGAATTAGCACATTTCCAAAAAGGGTAAGATTTTTAGAATAGACATATGGGACTGGTTCTGCATATTAAAAAAGTAAAATGAAGAAGCATAAATTTTAAAATGCTAAAAAGTATGACATATCAAATTAATCAAAATTATTCAAATGGCTTCCAAGATTGAGCCTGAATCTCTTCTTTCAATTTGCAATGTACAATGAAATTATATAGATATATTAAAACTGTGTAATAACAAAATGTACATACTTTCATTTGAACCTTGTTTTTTTTTTTTTTTTTAGGGAACCAATCCACTGTACAGAGGCTCTACCAGTACCTTTAAAAATGTAACCTATAAACACAGGGAGAAACAAAAGGTGGACATTTCTACTGATGGATAGAACTACTTTATGCACGGAAAAAGTCTGTTTCACTGATATGAAATGTTAATGCACTATTTAATTTTTCTTTCTTTGTTGCTTCAAAATGAGGTTGGTTTAAAATAATAATGGGTCATTTGGAGATCAGTCATTCTCCGCTTGAAGGTTAGAGACTATGTTGGCAGGTTCAAAATAATCAAGAAGAGAAATATCCTTAGCGAAGGGGTGACTTTGGGGATCATTTGAGGAATACTAACTCTGTTGCATTAATGCCTCAAAAAATCATCAAAATGATTCACGGGGGCCTGATTTGTGTTTGAAAAATGTTTGAAATTAGAATCTCATTTGTTACAGGATTACAGCTACCTGAAGTCTTTGTCTCAGCAAAGTCACAAAGTCCATATGCTCACATTATATACTCACACTTGACAATTAATTCTAACCTTGCAGTAAATCTGCCCTTTCCTAAAGGAGGATTTTTTTTTAAATATGAAAAATGAGATGCTGACTTTTATTTCAGCTAAGAGGATGCAATTCTTCTAAAGATATCCCAAATGTAAGAATGAAAATTAAGTGTTAATAATTTCTGTGGATTTGTATGTACCTAAAAATCAAGTACATAAGTATTTTGTTTGTTTTACAGATGAAGTAATTTATAAATTAGGAAGTCACCAGTAATAAACAAAAATAATAAGCCTATCATTTAGATTATTTTTAATTATCTGAAAAATAAACTTCTACACTCAATTTCCCTCTTGACCCTGAGTTTTCAAACTATTACTTCTCCCATATTTCTCAATCCATTTTATTCAGTTTCAGTCATCTAAACCCTGTAAATGTCATATGAAATTTTTGATTTCATGTTAAAAATTACTTTAAATGGTTAGATAGTTTATTCAAAAAGAGCTCCGATAGTACAAAAGAAACATGGGTTAAATTGAATAAACTTTTAAATGGTTTTAAATCAAACACATTGAGAGTACACAAGTCTCTCGTGAGTAATAGGCTTCTTTATATTCTTTTCCAAACTTATACATTTCAGTTGCATATGGTGAATATGCATCACATATTTACTTCAAAAAGTAAGATTTTATTTGCAAAATACATGTGGATAATTAGGGATCCACAGGTTGATTGTAGAGATGGAATCTGTGGAACATTATTTCTTATAGTTAATACTGCTTTACAAAGCACTTTCATCTCATTTGATCCTCATAAGGAAACTAAGCCTCGGAGAGGGAGTCGAAGAACAGGTTCAGAATAGATCTTCTAGCTCCAAGCCATTTCCTCTTTCTACGGTACAAGACTGACTCTTTTGTCAGTGAAACGATAGAAAGAATTTTGTTAGTTAAGCGATAACTATCATTTGTTTGAAAATGTACTAAGACTAAACAAATAGCACTTAAACTACTGGAATACAGGTGAAGTCTTGTACTTTTGTGCAATGTTTATCACTTTTGAGTAAATTGTAGTGGGAAACCTTTTACTAGGTGAATAATTCATTATGTAATGGAGGCTTCATGTTTATCCATTGAATTGGCACAGAGTCATCTACTTATCAAGTTCCTTCAATTCTACCAGTTAGGTCTATACACATTTGATCACCTGGAGACAGTTTTTTTCTGGTTTCTAAGTAACTCAGGTAAATCAGACACCTGGGGGGTACACACTATACTAAAAGAATTACTGAACCATCACCTTGGAATCCTGAAGGGCTGATGTACCCTCTGTTCCTGAAGCCCAGGGTCTGGGGAAAATCTGGAGCAACAAGCAAGTTGCAATACTGATGACACAACAGTGGTGTTCACCTCTATGTGTGATATTTTTGTATTATTACTGGAACGGGATTTTAGAAAATATAAGTTTCCTTTGTGTGTATATTGGGGAAGGTAGAGAAGAATCTGCTATTTCTCTGAATACTGTTTTGACCCAAGGCTGGACCTTGAAAAGGCCAAAACATTAACAGTAGTACTTCTGTTCACTGAAGAGTTATGTTACATGAAGATAAAATGGGTTTTTGTAAGTTGTTTTATTGTATTTTGTGCTGACATAAATAAACATGGTAATTTAAACAATGAACCTTAGATGGATGATAATTCCTTTTATTCCCTTAGTACAAAACCCTCTTCTTGGATTTCTGGATCTCTGTGTGATCTACTCTGACCACCTTACTGATCTCAGTCTGGGGCCACGGAGAAGAGCAGAAAGAGGCAGCCCCAGCAGGCAGGAGACAGCAGAGAATGGGCTCAAATTTGCTGCATGGTTAAGATACCCATATCACAAGGCGTTTTAAAATAGGCCTGGGCATTCCTCCATATTTTGTAAAATTAAGTTCTTCAGGGTTACTTTTATGGGCTGAATAGTGGTCCCCATCCTAAAATTCATGTTCTGAAGTCGTAATCCCCAGTACCTCAGTACGTGACTGCATTTGGAGATAAGGAATTTAAAGGGGTAATTAAGTTAAAATGAGGTCATTAGGTTGAGCTCTAATCCAATATGACTAATATCCTTATAAGAAGAGGAGATTAGGACGCAGACATGCACAAAGGGAAGACCATGTGAAGACACAGGGACAAGACAGCCAAACTGTCTTTGTCTTTGGAGAAGACAAACCAAAGAGAGAGGCCTCCGAAGAAACCAACCCTGCAATACCTTCATGTGGGACTCCTAGCCTACAGAACTGTGAGAAAATAAATTTCTGTTGTTTAAGCCCCAGTCCATGGCACTTTATTATGGCAGACTTAGCAAATTAATACAGTCAGGTGGTGCTCGTTTTCTGAGCGTCCATTTGGTAGATTCCATGGTGCTATGCTCATTTTCCAAATCAGGAAAATTAAGCAGAGAGAGACTAAAGGCTCACAAAAGGAGTCAGCTTAGAAAAAGTCCTTTTCTTAGAAAGGCTCTTTCCTTACAAAAGGACAGGAAAAATCAAGTCAAGAGCACTTATGTTCTAAAACAAACTGTTTCTCGTAGACTAAAAGCCAGATATCTGGAAATCCAGAAACTGCTCCCATTTTGAATAGCACTGAGAAAGTCACTTTTCTCCTTAATTTTTCCACCTGTAAGACGATGGTTTCTCTTCTAGCACCTATTACAATCCCTGACACACAGTAAGGGCTAAGTAAATTCATTCAATCAGTATTTTGGAGTATCCAGTATATGCTAGACACTGTTCTTATGATTATGGATATGGCAATGAGCAAAATAAGAAGTTCCTGTGCTTACAAGTAGGGGAGAAGATCATAAACAAATAAATATATAGTATCAGGGTAATGGATCCATTTATGCACAACCCAGGTCCACTGGGCCCCATCTGTCCCCCAGATCTAAGCTAGGAGTCACCCCAACACGAATTCACATGGTCCCCTTGGTAGTAAAGTCCCAGCTTCCACCTAATCCCCCAGGGGTTGGAGACCACAGCAAGTCTTGTGCCCAAGTCCAGAGTGGCAGCTGGATCTGAATAATAAAGAAAACAGAAATTTTCAAATAAGAAGGCAAGGCTAAGTTGATCTGAACAGTATGGCACTAAGCCAATGAGGGAAGGGAAAAGAAACACAGAGCTCACCCGGCTGGTCTTAGGGGAGAGCCAGGAAAGGGTTTGGGAAGAGGGAAGAAAAAGTCTTGGGGGCAGCAACTACGTAGGGGCGATATTGAGAATGAGATATATGGGGGTGAGGGTGGTAGGCTGTTCATTTTAAACGCACTCATCCTTTTGAGCCTGCTGTTCCCCTGACTAAGGCAGCCTCTGGTGTTCAAGGCGAGAGCGAGAAGGCCCAGCTCCATGGTGGTTTCAGCTGAGAGACCACATGGTGTATTTTATCTAGTTCAAGTTTCCCTTTAAGATGCCTCAACACCAGAAACAGTCATGCCCTGAAATACTCCTGTGAATCACCCAAATGGCAGCACCCCAATCCTCCCAAAGCAACCCAGAGTCCTCTGATTTGCTCTCTCCTTCACCTCTCCACACCCATTCCTTCCGGTATTTTTTGAAGGGACTAGAGAATCAATTCCTTCATAATATTCTTTTTTTTTTTTTTTTTTTGTGAGGAAGATCAGCCCTGAGCTAACATCTATTGCCAATCCTCCTCCTTTTTTTCCCCCCTTTTTCTCCCCAAAGCCCCAGTAGATAGTTGTATGTCATAGTTGCACATCCTTCTAGTTGCTGGATGTGGGACGCGGCCTCAGCATGGCCGGAGAAGTGGTGCGTCGGGGCACGCCCGGGATCCGAACCAGGCCGCCAGTAGCAGAGCGCACGCAAGTAACCGCTAAGCCACGGCGCCGGCCCCAATACTATTCTTTAACTACAGGAGAAAGTTGACCTCTCGAAAGAGTAAAGTTATTTAAATATTGTTGATTCATAATGATTTTATATCATCCTCATTTTATGAGAATCTAAACGGAAAAAAATTCCTTATTCAGAAAGAATGAGAAACAGGGATTGAATGAAATGTGATAAATAGAAATTTTCTTTTTTTGTTAAATTTTATTATACTGTAACAGACTCAAGTCGACACAGCGAAAATGCAAGGAAACTTAAGTGGTCAGGGCTTCACAGTCTCTTTTTTTTTTTTTTTTTTTTAAAGATTTTTTTTATTATTTATTCAGTTTTTCCCCCCAAAAGCCCCAGTAGATAGTTGTATGCCATAGGTTCACATCCTTCTAGTTGCTGTACGTGGGACTCGGCCTCGCGTTGGACAGAGAGAAGTGGTGCCTCGGAGCGCTCCCGGGATCCGAACCCGGGCCGCCAGCATCAGAGTGCGCGCACTTAACCGCTAAGCCACGGAGCCGGCCATCACAGTCTCTTTTAATAGGTCAGCTGGGCTAGGATGCTCTAGTACTAAATGAGGGAAGTTCTGGATGAGGCTTCTGCAGCCAGGAGAGTGGGCAGTGGTTGAAGAGTCTCACAGTTTGAGCCAAGACATTTATTCCTTTGGGCTGTGGACCACAGGGTGTTAAATACGGCCCTTCTTGTGCTTTGGAGACATCCAAACGTGAATCACCCTAGGCTAAATGGAGGCTCAGTGACTTGATCCTCTGTTCTCTCCCACTTGGCTGCACAACCAGCAAAGAGAGAGCAGCATGGGCACCCCAGAAGCTTTTCACCCCATAGATTTGTCCTGGATCTAGCCTCTGGGGGAGACCGGGCACTGGAAAGCACAGATTTGACCCACACACAATCTTTGGTGTCATTAACAACTTCAAGACTTTACAAATCCCACAGAAGTTCTACTTCAGTTTGAAATTTCAATCTGACCTTTGCAATTCCTAAGTACGTGTTTTATGAGGAAACTTACTGCTCAAATAGTATATACTTTTTTGGTCTGAAGTGTATTTACATTCACGGTCCTTACACAGCAACCAATTCTGTTCGTGATCAACATCGAAAGATAGTGCATCGTGAAATTCCATTGTTTGTCAATAACTGACTGGGTAAAAAGTCACTTTTTTTTTTTAATCCAGTTGGCTTCACTGTACCTAATATAGGTGTGTGTTTGTGTATATATACACACATATATACATACATACACACACATATATTTCTTCCTTATTTTAATAGATGTATCTTACTAGAATTAAATAGCTTGCATTGTTAATAGAAATAGGTAACAGCTAGTGTTCCAAGAGCTTTATATATGCCAACTCGGTCAGAGCTCGAAATCATCCTATGGGATGGTATTCTTAGTACCTCCTGTTTACAGATGAGGAAACTGAGACACATAGATGTTAAGTAACTTGCCCAGGTCACACACCTAGCAAGCTTTGAAGCCAGGATTTGAATGCAAGCACTTGGCTGAAATCCATGCTCTTAACCACTATGCTATATTGTCTTATAAATCCCAAAGATATAATAATGATAAAAGCCACCTTTATAACCAGTATCATGTAAAAGCATGTCATGTATCTTATCGTATTTAGTCCTTGAAAGGCTTGTATTGTTTTCCTTGCTTTACTAAGAGGGAAACTGCAGCTCAGAAAGCTGAGGGATTTGCCCAGAGTTCCCGAGTTTATAAATGTCAAGGGCGGGATTTGGACCTAAGCACAACTCCCACCAAAGCCTTCCGTCTTAAACACCGCGCTCTATGAGAGTCACTGGCGGTGCTCACCTTTTGCCCTCTGTCTGCAAAGGAAGGTGCTGCCACTAATCTGCCCCTGGTAGGATATGTCTTAGAGTTGCTTTCCCAGATGTAATACTGGATTTGCGCTGAGCCGCGTAGGCTTAACTGCAGGGTTATGATGAAATCTAGCTATAAAATAAAGCCCCTTTTAGGACATTGGACTCTAACAAACCAAGTTAGTGAGCCTGAGAATCGGTGTGGGGCGTGTCTGGCTTGGTTCTCCTTCCATAGCCCTGCCTGCCACCCTTTTAGTCAGATGCCTCAGAGGACCGCCAATATGCACACATGTGTGAAGTTCAACACCATGAGTTCTTGGGGGAAAGTTTAGGGTGTTTTGGAGGTAGGGGTCTTAGCCTGCCAAGGAACCTCCTCTCAGAAGCAAAGACTTTCATATACCCAGCGGCCTTTCTGGAAACACTGCTGTTTTATGCTAAATGGGTGGAATTGGCTGTCTGACAGGAGAGACTCGCTCTTTCCACAATGTCCTTGCTGAGTGCATACGCTGCCTTCCTCATTGCTCCCCTGCTCCCTTCAGGGCTGCTGCCAGCGGAAGCAAGCACCCGCCGGCCTTCACTCAGCACCAGAGGGGTCCTGCCTGCTTGACAAGAGAGAGAACTTGGAGGGAAAAGAGGACAAATGCCCCCCTTTGCTAGCTGATTAATTAGAAGGAAGAGACAGGGGTGGGGATGCGGGTGATGGTGATGGAAAATGTAGCCAAAAAATGATGACAACTGTGACATGAAAGGCTCTCCAATATGGGTAATTCTGAAGCTCTCGACGTGTTTTTTTTCCAAACAAGCTAGTGAAGATACAAGTTGTGATTAGTCTTTTTAAAATTAAAGATGATGATTACCATTTTCTTAAAATTTCTTTTATAAGTTGTTCTTAGGCTGCATTGTATAAAGTGCCCTGAATTCAAGTCGTAACCCCCTTTATGAAATGTCCTACAAAAAAATATT